TTGCTGTGCCTTTTGGCTCCGATTGCCAGGTTTGGTTTTCTGGTTCCTGGCTTTCCCTGCCTGTTGGCTTTTTCTGCGTCTTGCGGGTTCCCTTTCCTAGGGACTCAGTTGGGGCTGTGGTCTCAGACCTCCTGGTGTGCTCGTTGGTGTTGGGACGTTTTTGTCTGGCAGACGTTCCACCTCCTCCTTTGCCGGCTCGGTTTTCTGGCTCTTCCTGCTCGGTGGGACAGCAAGTGGACCAGGGACAGCAAGTGGACCAGGGACAGCAAGTGGACCAGGGACAGTAAGTGGACCTGGGACAGCAAGTGGACCATGGACAGCAAGTGGACCAGGGACAGCAAGTGGACCAGGGACAGCAAGTGGACAAGAACCACTCTTCATAAATTAGCTGATTATATGAATTATGATATCAATGCTAATGAGAGAGAGTGCGGGGGGGGGGGGGTGTAAGTACAACAGTTGTTTATAAGGTCTAATTGGTTGACTCATATTAAAGTGACCTTGGTGCATGTTGCCCTTCGTATTGGTTGGTTGTTGGGGTAGTAGTGAGGGTGGTAAGCCTGGTTGGTTGTGGAGGTGGTAGTGAGGGTGGTAAGCCTGGTTGGTTGTGGAGGTTGTAGTGGTAAGCCAGGTTGTTAGTTGTGATGGTCGTAACTATGGTAATGGCAATATTCTGGAGTGCGTGAGTGAGGGTGGGAGTGACTGGTAGAACTACCACTAATGACTCATCAACGAGGTCGTTGACGCTGATAAGAGTGACGGTGCTGCCGCCAAGGAAGCTGTCCGCTCTTGTCCCATCTCTCATAAAGGCATTCCGTATTCCGACTTTTACCCGGTTATCCATTCCTCAGTCCTTACCCGTTGGCAGGCTTCTTGGTTGTCTCTTACTGGTAACAAGCTACGTACTCTTAAATGTTGTGTTTCCTCGTGGCAGTCCTCCTTCCACCGTAACCGGCGGTGGGAAACAGCTCTGGCGAGATTGCGTATTGGCCATACTCGCTTAACCCATGGTCACTTGATGGAGCGCCGCCCTGCTCCTTATTGTCCTAGTTGCATTGTCCCTCTTACGGTAGTGCATGTCCTTCTTGAATGTCCTGACTTCCAGCACGAGCGTGTGTCTTGCTTTCCGACCGCCCCTCGCGGTCACCTGTCCCTCAATAGAATTCTTGGTGACTCGGATACTTTTGATATCGTTCGCCTTATGCGTTTTTGTTCTCGTATTGGCATCCTTGGTGATATTTAGCGCCCTCTGGTTATTCCGCACTTTGATGGTGCTACATAGCCTTCCCGGTTTGGTGCCTTCTTTGATAATTACTTACTTACTAGCTGACAGTATAAAGTGTGAAGGATAGATGTAATGGTTAATGTAATAATCTCCACTTAGGTCTGATAAAGACTCTTTGTGCCCTCTGTAATCCTTTTTTTAGCGCTACCGCTCACAGGATGAGTATGGGGTGCACAATAAACTAGCCGCCTCCGGTAGCAACTCAAGGCTTTTCTAGTTTAGCAAATGAGTTTGTAAAATCAAGTAAACATCCTAGCTATTTAATTTATAATTATTACAAATGAATCTTAATGTTGATTGGTATTTGAAGAGGGAATCAGAACCTACACAGTAGACACCAATAGTCATGGACCAACATCAAGAGGCACGGAGGTCTTGAGGTCTGTGAGAGGCAGCAGCAGCAGCGGCTCACATCACCGCTGCCTCTCACAACACTGGGAAAATATGTAAACCTCTCACCAGCTGTAACGTGGTTGAGTGCTGCTGTATCTTATCAACCCTGGCAGTTGACAACCCTGCTAATGCCACACACCGTCCTTCAAGTTATCATCTGTTGTCAACACCTCCGCTTAATGAACTTGTGAATTAATTATTTTGGATTAATTACTCTGATATCTTTTGATATTTACCTGTCGGCTTTGGAACATGCTGAACACCGACAACATGTTATCATACATACAGATTCGAGAACTGCCTTTGAAACCTTGCAACAAGAACACACACGTGATAACATCCATCTGATCACAAGTGTCATATCATTAATGCAAACACACAAACGACAAGGCCGACGGGTACTTATCAACTGGGTGCCAAGTCTTGTGGGAATAATAGGAAATGACATTGCAGACGAAGCTGCAAAACTTGCAACTAAGAAGAAATGTAGACATTTACATACCACAGAGTCTATCACAGATTAAGAAAGTAATTAGAAACAGAGCAATGCAAAAGATGTACAGTGACCACAACACAGCAGTTGCAACATCAGGATCTGCGGGTTGGTACAAGGATTCAACCAACTACGAACCACTTAGTTTGATGAAAGGGAGCAGTAGAACAACAGAAGTACACTTACATCGCATCAGGCTTCGATACCCATGTGTATGGGAAATAGGCTTACAGGTTCCAGAAGATGAGAGGAAATGTCAACACTGTGGAGAAATGCCCAACAGACCACTGGAACATTATCTAACACAGTGCACAGTTACAAACCCAATACGATTTCAACTTAGATTCAACAAAGCAGAAGATGTTGTTAAACCCATGGGACAAAATCTTACTGAAGCGACCATACGAGTTATAAATACTCATACTCCGCCCAAGTAAAACAGAAACAAGTAACACTTAGTGGGCCAGCCAGAGGCTTAGGGCCCGCGCAGGAATATCCTTGAAAAAAAAAAAAAAAACTGTCATTGGCCACGGATGAAAGCCAGTGACTAGCTGGTACTAATATCCGGGTACCGTGGTATGGAAACAGGACTAATAACCAAAACTAAATGAATTCCAATTATTCCTTAGTAAAAACAGGTATATATTAATGTCCAATGGAAAATCAGTAATTATAAGAGATTTACAAGAGCTTTAGTTAACTCAGGGGTCTAATAACACTCCCAGATCTTGGTAACAAGCAAATAGTTTTTGCAAATTATGTAACTAGAATGGTTGCTAGTAAGTCAATCAGTCTGGCAATGTTCATGGTGTAGTGAACACGGGTACAGACATTTACCTGTTGGTAGGTCTTCCTCCACTAAGGAAACAACCCGTCCTCACACTAGGCTGGTTAGAGCGGCGGCCGTCCTTCCCAGACGCATTTATCAATTTTAACAAACTATGTATTAAAAATGGGTTTGTTCTAAAATAAAAATTAATATTATTATACTTAAAAATTATATGTAAAATTAGATTAGGTTAATGTTTAGGTTCTGTTGGCGATTATTTGTACTTGAAGTACGTGGGTGAAGCATTTATAGAATTGTAGTTTGAACAGGACGTGAGCGAAGCACTTAATTGTTGCGGAAGTGTTAGCACGTCAACAGTTGTGAGTCGTGTGCAAACCGCTTTTCATCCATAACCAGGGGGGTTTGGCGGCTGTATTAACGAGTTTAGATCTTTGTATGCGAGGACGAGCTGAAGGAAAACACTCGATCCCCGCTCGAAGCCACAATTCACACTCCTTAATTCTACTCCCTGGCTCACACTTTCTGAAACTCTGTCCTTTGGCACCACCGGGAGCCTATCCCCAGGCAGAGGACAGCTAGGCCTACCTTGGCCAGGAATCACCAAAGGTGGCCGCGATCCTAGGCCGATTCAGAGGCGCCCTGACACGAGTGTGACCTTTCAGCGATGGATTGTACTATAAGGGAGGGCAGATTGCCTCGTCCCCGCATATGATAGATGCTCATACAGAGCCCGATTATCCAATTTGTCACCCGTCAGCTTGGTGCCCACTCGCAAGAAGCTTGCTGGAATACTGTAGGCCTATACACATGTGATGAGGACCGGCCCTGCTTATACTTAAAATATCCTTATCACCAAATCGCAAACTCGGTCTGAAACCAAGAGTTTGCGATCTGCGGTCATATTTACTGATGACAAGTCATGTGTTCACTCCCACTGTTGATAGCAAGTGACGTGTTCATTCCCACTGTTGATGGCAAGAGTGACGTGTTCACTCCCACACTGTTGATAGCAAGAGTGACGTGTTCACTCCCACACTGTTGATAGCAAGAGTGACGTGTTCACTCCCACACTGTTGATAGCAAGTGACGTGTTCATTCCCACTGTTGATAGCAAGAGTGACGTGTTCACTCCCACACTGTTGATAGCAAGAGTGACGTTCATTCCCACTGTTGATAGCAAGAGTGACGTGTTCACTCCCACACTGTTGATAGCAAGAGTGACGTGTTCACTCCCACACTGTTGATAGCAAGAGTGACGTGTTCACTCCCACACTGTTGATAGCAAGAGTGACGTGTTCACTCCCACACTGTTGATAGCAAGTGACGTGTTCATTCCCACTGTTGATAGCAAGAGTGACGTGTTCACTCCCACACTGTTGATAGCAAGAGTGACGTGTTCATTCCCACTGTTGATAGCAAGAGTGACGTGTTCACTCCCACACTGTTGATAGCAAGAGTGACGTGTTCATTCCCACACTGTTGATAGCAAGAGTGACGTGTTCACTCCCACACTGTTGATAGCAAGAGTGACGTGTTCACTCCCACACTGTTGATAGCAAGAGTGACGTGTTCACTCCCACACTGTTGATGATGACAAACTGACAAAAAATACAATCTTGAAATAACACTATTTCAAAGACAGTACTATAGATAGTCTTACCCAGTGTTTTGATATAAACATTAATCTGATATCCTTAATTATGTCCTAATGTGATGAAAAAGTTTCAATATTTTTTTCACCGACAGTATTCAACTACACGAAGTTGTCGATTGTAACATATTACACAGTTGTAAATATAATCAAGTGAATAGTCAACAGATAATTCCGCAGAAGTGCTCAAGAGCTGCTTTTATTCCTGTCAGCACATCTTGGTGACACCACACACGCATAAACATAAAAATATACACAAAATGGCAACAGCATTTCCAACCAATTAACGCTTGGCATACATAGTACATGAGCCGAGCCGAGCCGAGCCGCAGCCAATGGGGGAGGGTTTAACAAGTCGAGCGTGGTGCGCATGTGTCTACAAATAAATGCTGATAAAATAGGTGGAAGTGTTAGTTATCGTTCTGCTGTTGTGGGGAGTGTACGCAGTCAGTGGTGCCTGACGACGGACTAAGATGATGACTGGGAAGGAGAAACTCGCCAAGGAGGAAACATTAGAGCTGAGAAAGAAACACATTGGGTGAGTAGCTGGTTATTGATTTATCGTGAGAGTACAGGAGCTCGTTCCCGTTTATCCTAACATAAGAGAGCATTGTTTGTGTCTGCAGACTTAACACTTCGTTTATGTTCCTTAAGTCTGTCATTTAGTGTACGGTCAGTCTCCCCGAAGTGTTGGAGAGGACAAGGCAAACAGGAAAGAGTAGACACCAGCAGCATTAGAAGCAGGAGCAGCAGCAGTGTGAACAAGATTACTACGAATAGTGTTAGTTTGTCGAAAGGTGAACACTTTATGTCGAGAGGACGAAGGGTTTTAGTAAGGGTTTGGAGTTCTGGGGCCAGATTCACGAAGTAGTTACACAAGTACTTACGAACGTGTACATCTTTTCCTCAATCTTTGACGGCTTTGGTTACATTTATTAAACAGTTTACAAGCATGAGAACTTCCCAAATCAACTGTTGTTATTGTTATAAACAGCCTCCTGGTGCTTCGGAGCTCATTAACTATTTAATAATTGTAAACAATGCCGCCAAGATTGAGAAAAGATGTACAGGTTCGTAAGTGCTTGCGTAACTGCTTCGTGAATCTGGCTCCAGATATGAAGGGAAGGCGGAGTACAGTGGTACTGGTGTTGGAATATTTAATTAGTCTTCTGTAATAATCTTTCCTGACTGTACTCTTCACAGACGCCGTCTTGTCGAATCGGCTCTGATACACAACACACTCAACATGAACCCGAGTTCTGGCTTTGTTGCTGTTGACTCTTCCCTTTCACAGTACATACTCAAACGTTCTAACCTTTGTAACAAACGTGACCTAACATAAACCTACCCATTCTTATTCTTACGTTTCCATTCTTTTACCCATTATTACCTCCCTTCTTGCACCCCTTTATTACACCGGTTCCCTCCGTACCTTTCGCCTTCCTCTAGGAATTAGAGGATGGTAAGAATAAGTAGATTAGGTTAGGTCAGTTGAGTCACAGGGAGGCCGGGATGGCAACGTTGGCATCAACATCAACAACAACGATGGCAACGAAAGTTATACGTCAGTATAATTTGGCGGTCTCAACTTATAATTTCTCACGCGATTATTTAAATCACTGCTGTAGACAGCTTAATTATCGAACTCTCCTCAATCAACGTGTAAGGTGCTTGGCTCTGAAGCAAGGTAAGGATATATGTACACATTGAAGCGGCCAAAGTTGACAGTAGCCTCTCACTCTGGGCTGTGGGAGCACGATTATGTTGACGCCCTCGCTAGACGTGAATAAAGACAACGTTGAATGTAAATCTTTGGCTGTCAAATAGAACTCTGAAGGTTGTTGTTAGAAGAGAATTATTAGACAAATTTTAAGGAGAGTGCAAACAGGAACTATGGCAGGTCCATTGTTAATAGGTTAAATGTCAAACGAAACAATTATTTGTATCGAGTAACAGTCGATAGGATGACCGTTGTCAGACCTCGACTACGACTAGGTTAGAGGTATATGTGGTAGTTGGGCTTGTATAGTTCTAGATCAAGTGTAGTGTGTGGACAATGACAAAGAGGGACACAATTGAGCAGCACATCGATCTTACACTGAAACATTTTGCCATATCAAGATGAAACTTAATTAGTTGTGTGAAATGGCAAATAATTTTATTTTAAATAATACAAATTCTGAAATACTGAAATATCGATATTTCGTTCTTGGCAGATAAATGACATGGACGATCATCGTACGAGTTATGACGTCAAACTGTAAACAGGAAGTCTTGTAAAGTCTTTATTATCGTGTAAAATCCAACGTTGAAAATTGTTATCAACAGTCCGACCTCCAGTGTGTATAGTTGGTCCATAGACGCTGCCGTGAGGGAAGGCTGTTACTATAGCTCTCAATGTAAGGCTTGCATATTGCCTAATGATTTAAAAATATCTGGTTGAAGTCTGTGAGTTGAAAAATATCCAGGGTATGGGGTGCACAATACACTACCACTCCCTGGATGAGTATGGGGTGCACAATACACTACCACTCCCTGGATGAGTATGGGGTGCACAATACACTACCACTCCCTGGATGAGTATAGGGTGCACAATACACTACCACTGCCAGGATGAGTATGGGGTGCACAATAAACTATTTGCCTCCCGGCCATATCATAAGGAACATTCGGAATGCTTCATGTAAAGACATCAAGTAAACACCAGAAGGGAACAACCTTTCTAGTCATATCAATTAAAAATTCCATAGCATAGCTGCTAAATGGCTCCGTGTTAAGGAAGATGAGCTAAGACCAGGTTGTAGAGGGAGGGAGGCAATTATTAGGGGAAAGCGCCAAGCCATTACGACTTATAGCCCTTGGAAAGGATCAGGATAAGGATTTGGGATGGGTCGGGGGAAGGAATGGTGTCCACCCACTTTGACGGTTGGGGATTGAACGCCGACCTGCATGAAGCGAGACCGTCGCTCTACCATCCAGCCCAAGTGGTTGGGCACCACTACCACGCGCAGGATGGAGGGATGTGTTCACGACATACAAATTATTAAGAGTACTTGGGAATATGAGGATGCTGACTACTGTAAGTCAAGAGGACACATGTTTGTAAGAATTTTCCAGTGTTCGACTATGGGAGCCGGTCGACCGAGCGGACAGCACGCTGGACTTGTGATCCTGGGTTCGATCCCAGGCGCCGGCAAGAAACAGTGGGCAGAGTTTCTCTCACCCTATGCCCCTGTTACCAAGCAGTAAATAGGTACCTGGGTGTTAGTCAGCTGTCACGGGCTACTTCATGGGGGTGGAGGCCTGGTCGAGGACTGGGCCGCGGGGACACTAAAGCCCGAAATCATCTCAAGATAGCAAAAGAAAGAACTAAGAGAATGCCGGAAAGAGACGGGCACTGCGTATGACTTTCAACCCGACCCACGTAAACACAGTAAGTGCAGATACACGCGTGTACACTGCCCATGACCTTCAGTGTTGCAGACAAAGGTGCAATGAACATATTGTGGGGTCGTTTACCCTCCCCAACCTCGGAGCCAGCACAGCTGCAACAGATGAATACATCTCATTCAGATCTTTACCCTCGTATTTTGTATGCATTTGCCTGCTAGAGATTTCCAAAGTGGGTTGAAAAGTTTATGAACTTGTATTAAAGCTTTTCCTGAAGGACCAAGTTAGATATGCTATGTAAAACTTAAAATCGGTGTTTAAGAACATCATTGTGTAAGAATGTACACCACTTCACACACACGTATGTGTCTGTACACAAGACTCGGGTATCCTCGTACACGGGTCACGATGTGCGCATTAGAGTTGCGACGTTCATGTAATACTAAATACCCGAGGCTACGTAATGCTTGATTTACGTTTCCGGCATATATTTTTAACAAGATTGTTTTGAAAGTATCGACTAAACACGAGGTTTCTTACACGCGGGTAACCATATTTATCAAGGTGCTTGGGAACTAGGCAGCTATTGTGGATAGCATCCTAGGGAAGCTGTCATTAGCCTAGTGTGACGCCATAATCCTACCAGACACCTTGCCCCCCCCCCCCCGACAATTAGGAAATTATATTATATTCAAGAAATAAACGACGATATCTATAATGGTTACCTCGATCTAAGGAGACCATGCGGGAAAGCAGTTTGTAAAGTTATAGTTAGGTCTAAAACCTCAGTTCTTTGACCATTCTCTGGCCAGTAAGGTTGGAAGATTTATTTGACTTCTATTGACCTTTTATAACCACACAATTTAGCCCTCGTCTCTCCCCAAAATCCCGGCATTTTTCACCTGAGGCCTAAATCAAAGATGTCCACCAGAGTCATCTTGAAAAAATTATTTTGAACGAGAACACCAAAACCATGTTTCAAGACACTTTTTCGGGGGAGTAGACTACGAGGATTAAAATCTGACATTAGTTTCATATTACGACATAATTTTGATCCAGAAATCAATGATGGTCGCCTCTGGTAGTTCAAAACGTAACTTTTGTGCTTTAAACAACTTCCTTCATAAAGATCTCTTGCAGTAAACTGATAAATAATATATATAATTTAAGAATGCGTGACAAGTAAAAACATTACACTTCAAAATAAGCTGTTTTTAATATATGTAACTTGGACAGTTTTCAAATGAAACTAAAAACGTGTTAATAAAAAATAATTTTACCCAGAAAATCATATTTTAAGCCATTTTGTGAAGACAAATTGCACCACAACACAAATGAAACACTTAGAAGTCACCAATTATGCTCTCATGCCATACTTCACATAATTACATTTTAACTGATGAATTAATATGACCTTGTACGATGTGATATAATCAGAACATTCTGCCTCAAGGTCATCTTGATTCATCAGTTAAAGTGCCATAAGTGTGTGAAGTATGACAGGAAACCATAATTGGTAACTTCTAAATGTTTCAATTGTTGTGTAATTTGTCTACAGAAAATGGCCAAAAATATGAGTTTCAGTATTGTTTTGACATGTTTAATTAGTAGTTTAATTTGAAAACTGTCAGTCATAGCTATTAAAAATAGCTTTATTTTGAAGTGTAATGAGTTTACTTGTCATACATTCATCAATTACATAGTATTCATCGGTTCACTGCAATAAAAAGTCCTTGTGGAGGTAGTTGCTTTAAGCACTTTAATCCAGTTCCTGTGGAATCACTGGAATCCTAGATAGTATGAGTTATACATCATAGGATTCTAACCAATCTACGGGAAGTCTGGAGGCTTCTACTGAAGCCAGTCCAAGTTTTACATGTAACCCCATGCTCTCTGGTGTAGGTAAAGCAGTTCATCAACCGTACGCTGCAGCTTCATGGTACAAGTTGTACCATGTGGTACTATTGGGGCAAGCCGCGCGCTGGGAATACCACGGTCGCTGGCTAGTTACCTTAATGCTCAAATTGATTTTTTCAAAATCCGAGAATTTTCCTTTCACCAATTTTCAAGAAATGCCTATTTCAATTATAAATTATATATTATCCAAAATCATAGCCAAATATACAGAGTTTGCCCCACTATAAATAT